CGGTCTGAGCCACGCAGCCCTGCTTGCACACTCCGTCTCCTGCACGGAGCTCGGCCTCTGCGGGTGCTCAAAGATGTGCAAACATTACATCCTCTTATCTTGGGCAAATTCATTAGGAACACACCTCCCAGGTAAACGAATGACCGACGCGCTTTGCCGTTTGTTAACGTGATCGGGGACGCAGGTTTATTTATTTATTTATTTTAAATGTTTAAATATTTACTAAGATCAAGTATAACTTATAACATGTACACTACCTGCAAAACAGTGTACAAAAGTTCTGAGAATCCAACATTACAAGCCAGCCAGTTTATCACCAACAAAGTTGTCATCATACATCAATATAACATAGTAACACACTAATGTAGTATCAGATCTGTTCCCATAGATAAGAATGACTTTTGAACTATAAATCCCCAATTAATGGAGTCACGCAGGTTTATGATCGGTCTGTCAGGTACGTGCTTTTCGACTAGGGTCAAAGGGCCCGAGGGCTATTTGGCCATTGAAATGGGGCTCAGACCACAATGCGGGAATCAGCTGTGAGCTGGGGTTCGCCTCTCGGCCGCTCCCACCGAAAGCCCAATCTGCAGGTGTGCAACTCTGGATTCAGCGTAGGACTCTGGGGCTTCTCATGCGTCACAGGAAAGCATCTGTGAGCCGCCACCCTCTGCTCTTTGCTATTGTGCAAATTCCATGACAGAAGGAAGATCTGCGTGGATAGGGACGGGGGAGTGTTTTGACACTGGAGTTACCCTCTGGCTGCCAGAGTTTTGTATTGACACGGCCCCTTCGTTTACTTATCGGCTGCCTTTCTCGCTTGAACACAAGGCGGATCACTCAGAATGAGTTAATATAAATCAACCGGATGGGACACTCAGTAAAGCAGGTGATAGGATTTGGGCTGCAGAACCAATCAGCAGTCTAAAAAACAGAACTGAAGCAAAGCAGGAGTGTCAACAGGACGCATTAATGAAGCAAAATTACACCATAGGATCCAGCCCACAGCAAACTATACACACTAGCACAGACTACCACCCCCAGTAATTTATCCATAAGAACATAAGAGAAGCCAATGTTGGCCAGGGGTCATTTCCAGCAGGAGTGCACAGGAGCGGAGGTCCGGCAGTAAAGAGCCCAGGGGGCGGGCACATGCAACAAGCCCCGCCCCCTGCTCCCAGCAGCCCTGGGCCTCGAGGAGCACAAGGATCTGCGCGTCTCCCCCCCACAATAGCGAGCAATCCAAAACAGCCCAGTGGAGCCTGAGCAGTGGGTTGTTGCCTTCTGACACACTTCCAGTGATACCAGGGGGTGTGGTATGTGCAAATAAGTTATGCTAATGAGCTCCTGCACCTCTTTTTCTCCTGAATGACCCCTGCCAGTGGCCCATCCAGTCCAACGCTCTGTGCACACAGTGGCCAAAAATACCAGGTGCCATCAGGAGGTCCAGGACACTAGGAGCCCTCCCACTGTTGCCCCCTCTAAAGCACCAAGAATACAGCGCATCACTTGCCCCAGACCGAGAGTTCCTATCTATGCTTTTGTGGCTCATAGCCACTGATGGACCTCTGCTCCCATGCTTGTAGCCACCCCCACCTCCTGTGGCAGTGAATTCCATGTGTTAATCACTCTTTGGGTGAAGAAGGACTTCCTTTTATCTGTTCTAACCCGACCGCTCAGCAATTTCATTGTGCGCTCACGAGTTCTTGTATTGTGCGAAAGGGAGAAAAGGACTTCTTCCTCTGCCTGTTCTATCCAAATAACTTTGTGAACTCTTCTGTACAGTGCCAGTCTGTTGCCTGCCTAGAGAAACCCTCTCGAATAACTCCGTTTTTCATTGATTCAGGCGGGTCACCATGTTGGTCTGAAGCAGCAGAACAAAGCTTGAGTCCACTGTTGGCACCTTTAAGACCAACCCAGTTTAATTCTGGGGGTAAGGTTTCGCACGCATGCATGGTATCTGATGACGTATGCATGCACATGACAGCTTATATCCAGAATTAAACTTGGTCGGTCTTGAAGGTGCCAACAGTGGACTCAACCTTTGTTCAGTTTTGCATAGTTTGCGGGAAGCCAGGAGAGTGGGAAGACGCTAGGGCAGGGACATTCCCAGGTTCAATCCCCGGCCTCTCCAGTTAAAGGAGCAGGCAATACGGTGATGAGAAAGACCTCGGCCTGAGACCCTGGAGAGTCGCAAACAGTGTGCATAGCCGGGGGGTCATTTCGTAGAAAAAGAGGTGCAGGAGCTCATTAGCATAACTCATTAGCATAACTCATTTGCATACGCCACACCCCCTGACATCACCGGAAGTGTGTCAGAAGGCAACACCCACCACTCAGGCTCCACTGGACTGTTTGGGATTGCTAGCTATTGGGGGGGGGAATGTGCAGATCTGTCCTCGCAGAGGAGGGAGAGCTTGTACCTGAATAAAACTTGGTATTAAAGGTGCCACTGGACTGTTTTGGACCGCGGGGCTGGGGCGGCCTTTTCAGCTTACCTGGCTGCTTCTTGGTCTGACTGAGGGCTGCTGGGAGCAGGGGGTGGGGCTTGTTGCATGTGCCCGCCCCCTGGGCTCTTTACTGCCAGAGCTCCACTCCTGTGCGCCAAGACTGATTGACCTTGATGGACCAGGGGGGGTCAGATTCAGTCACAGGCAGTTTCATGGGCTGAGCTTCTCTTCAATTAAGAAGGTGTAAAAATCACCCCTGTTTTCCCCTCGCCATTCCACACTCAGAACTCGTAGCCTTGCCCAGTCCGAGTCTGGAATGCCTGGAGGTTTGTGGGGAGGAGCCTGGGGAACTTTGGAGGGGGGGGGATCCCAGCAGGGTGTAATGCCAGAGAGTCCGCCCTCCAAAGGAGCTATTTTCTCCAGGGGATTCCAGGAGATCTCCAGGCCCCACCTGGAGGTTGGCAACCTTACTAAGCAAGCCCTGAAATTTGGAGCTGCGGTGGACCAAGACCTTTTGAAAGTGCTGAAACTACCCTGGCTGGCTCAAGGGGCTCGAGGGGGGGCCCTGCACTGCATCCTTTGGGAGCCCCCCCCAGGCCCTGCTTGGGGGAATCTGAATTGTTCAGAGCTTGGGGAGGGGGGGGGCAGTCCCGCTCTCCTCCCCTGTCCATTGTCTGGTGTCATTTGCAGAACCAGTTCCTCGGGTTTGCTGGTAGCCAACCTGTTTGCGGAGGGATTTGCCTCTCCGTTCCTTTCTGCCCTCCCACGCCCGCCCGGCGTAGAATTTCCTGGCACTTCTCCATCACACTTTTTAAACCCTGTCCTCCTCCTGAGGCACTCCGGGCCAGTCTCCCCCACTCCAGTCTACCCTCTCGACAGCTCTGGGAGGCCGGCCGGCCGAGAGAGGGTGACTGGACAGGTCACCTGGTCGGGGCAGAGAGGATCTCGAACACAGGTCTTCTGAAGCTGAGTCCAACACGCTCACCTCTACAGCAAGAGCCAGAGCCATGCAGTGATTAGACTGCCAGACTAGGACACTCTGAGAGCCAACTGTGGTGCAGCGGTTAAGAGCAGTGGACTCTAATCTGGGAGAACCGGGTTTTGATTCCCCGCTCCTCCACATGCAGCCAGCTGGATGACCTTGGGTCAGTCACAAGTTCTTTCAGAGCTGTTCTCTCAGGAGCAGTGCTCTGAGAGCTCTCTCAGCCCCACCTACCTCACGGGGTGTCTGTTGTGGGGAGAGGAAGGGAGGGAGATTGTAAGCTGCTCTGAGACTCCTTCGGGTAGTGAAGAGCAGGGTATAAAACCAACTCTTTTTCTCCTCCTCCTCCTCCTCCTCCTCCTCTTCCTCCTTCCTCCCCCCCAACAGGCCCCTTGCGAGGCAGGTGGGGCTGAGAGAGTTCTGAGAGAACTGTGACTGGCCCAAGGCCACCCAGCTGGCTTCATGTGGAGGAGGAGTGGGGAATCGAACCCGGTTCTCCAGATTAGAGTCTGCCACTCTTCACCACGACACCCAGGTTCTAATTTCTGCTCTGCCATGGAAGCTCGGCTGGGTGACCTTGGGCCGGGCACGCAGCCTCACCTACCTCCCAGGGCTGTTGTGAGGATAAAATGGGGGAGAGGAGAATGATAGAAGCCACCTTGGGTCTCCATTGGGGAGTGCCCTTCCATCCCTTCCGTGTCCTCTTTACCTGGGATGGGTACTCATCCGTGAACCTCCAGACTGAGTCCGTGGGGGGGGGGGGGGCTTCTGCGATGCTTCTTCTGGTTTGCAGCCGTTTCTCTGTCCCTGTGGGGATGCCCACAAGTGGTGCGTCAACGTGAATTTAGGTGTTTCAGATAGTTTCCTTTCCCAAACCCAGGCCCAGGGCAGCCAGGAACACAATAAACAGCCATGGCACTCTAACCCCCCCCCAAAAAAAACCCCTTCAACCTGATCAACTCCACAAAAAGCCCTCTTATGTTCCTGGTGTAGTGGTTAAGTGCGCGGACTCTAATCTGGGAGAACCGGGTTTGATCCCCCACTCCTCCACATGCAGCCAGCTGGGTGACCTTGGGTCAGTCACAAGTTCTCTCAGAGCTGTTCTCTCAGGAGCAGTGCTCTCAGAGCTCTCTCAGCCCCACCTGTCTCACAGGGGAGGGGAAGGGAAAGGAGCTTGTAAGCCGCTCTGAGACTCTGAGTGAAGGGTGGGGTATAAATCCAATTTCCTCCTCCTCCTCCTCCTCACCCCCTGCAGGCCTCCTAGGGATGCCAGCCTCCAGGTGGGACCTGGGGATCCCCTGGAGTTACAGTGCACCTCCAGACGACACACTGGAGAAGATGGCTGCTTTGGAGGAGGGACTCGGTGCCATTGTAACCCACGGGGGTCCCTGTCCTCCCCCGGCTCCACCCCCAAATCCCCAGGAGTTCTCCTTCCTGGATCTGGCAAGCCCACCCTCCTCCACACACACCTGTGGCCAGTGGGGAGCTGGCAGCCCTAGGGCAGCCCCACATCTAGATGCGCCCGGGTCTCTCTGCACATCGACAAGTCGTGTTCCTATAATCTGCAGAATGCGTACCGCGGTGGCCAAAGCGAGGTCCGCACCACCGAGCTCCTCGTCACCGGCTTCTACACCAGGGATATCGTCCGTGGCAGCCCCCCCACAGGCCGATCCACGCCGCCACGTGGGACGCAGGAAAGTCTCCTGGATCGGGCTCTGCGGTGAGGGTCCGCTTTTGGGGTGGTCTCGGCTTGCAAAGATGTCGTCCAAGTAGGGTTGCTACGGCCTCCAGGTGCGACCGAGACGTCTCCCGGACTTGCAAGCGATGCTCCCTCTAAGCGGTGGAGTCTTGTGAGCAAAAATTCTCCTTTGTGAGCGACTGGCATTGAAGTCGTGAGCGAGACCGATTTGGCTGCTGCATCACTTAGTTTGCTCTTTAGCCATCCTTCCTGAGCAGAGACGAAAATGTGTGATCCGGAGGCTAAAAGACAGTGAGCTGGCTCACACTCACTCAGCTCAGAGGGAACACTGCTTGCAAGTGGTCCCCAGACAACAGAGATGTGTTCCCCTGGAGAAAACGGCTGCTTTGGAAGGTGCCGCCTCCGTGGCGTTATATGCCGCTCACGACCCTCCCCTCCCCACACTCTGCCCTCCCACCCTGGGGGCAGCAGCTCGACGTCTCGGCCCTCTTCCGAGCAGATCCACACGGAATACTCGGACTGACCCCCAGTTTGGCAGCCCAAGCTGTGCTTCGGTTTCCGCCATGAACATTGTACGGAAAGCGTTTGTGTGAACCGATCTTCCTTCTAGTGCCGGCCTCGTCGTGCCTCTGACCCAACATCCGTGTCGCCCTGGTTGGCCAGTTTGGTGTAGTGGTTAAGTGCGCGGACTCTGATCTGGGAGAACCGGGTTTGATTCCCCACTCCTCCACTTGCACCTGCTGGATGACCTTGGGCAAGCCAGAGTTCTCTCAGAGCTGTCCTTGAAAAAGAGCAGTTTCTGTCAAGAGCTCTCTCAGCCCTGCCTACCTTACAGGGTGTCTGTTGTAGGGAGGGGAAGGGAAAGGAGATTGTAAGCTGCTCTGAGACACCTTTGGGTAGTGAAGGGCGGGGTATAGATCCAATCTCCTCCTCCTCCTCCTCCTCCTCTTCTTCTTCTTCTTCTTGGCTGGTGCCAGGCGCTGTACTCAAGAAGCCCTGTTGGGGGGCAGAGAGCCGGCAGTCTGCTTGGGAGCAGCTTTGGGGGGGTGGTGTGGGGGGTCCCGCATCTGACCCACTGCCGGCATCGGGCCCTTTCCCGAGCTGTGTCACCCCAGAGCTGGGACAGCTCCCCAGGCCTGGCACGGAGCGCTCCTTCCTTCCTTCCCTTCTCACCATCTTACACGGGCAACCTGCCCAGCGGCGGTGAAAGGCCCTGCGGGGGACAGAGGGGGGGCAGTTTGTTTTCTGCCTTTGTCTCCGCCGGCAGGGTGGCCGGGCCCTTTCAGCGCCTGTCCACAATGTGCCTCTGTCTCCCAGCCCCGCGCCTCCTCCCTCCTGCCCGGTGTTTAAAAGGCACGGCTCTTTCCCCTCCCTGCCAACGTGGGAACCGTCCGCCTCCTTCCCTGCCTGCCTGGCGGCTGGGTAGGTGCCCTTCTCCGGTGGGGCAGGGGCGGCTGCCAAGCGGTGGGGCCCTGCTCGCAGAGGGGCGGGGAGGGCTCTGGCACATTTCTCTCCAGCCTGAGAACTTCCAGCCCTCTGGCACCTGCCGGGCTCCTGTCCCGGGCCAGCGGCTTCCTGCAGGACTTTAACCCCAGCAGCTGCGGCAGCCGGGGCCAATGTCCCCGTGAAGGCGATGCCAAGGAGCGGGCTTGCCGGGGCCTTCCTGACCCGCAGCGCCCACTGGCTCGGGATCGGCGGGGGCCCGAGACCGACACAGCCGGTCCAGCTCAGACCCGCTTCCCTCTCGCTTCGCAGGGCCCGGCAGCAGCAGGCGAGCCCGACCAGGATGGCGGAGAACGGGCTGGGATGGCGGGAGAAGGTGCTGAACCTGGAGTCCATGAACCCCTGCATCAAGAAGGTGGAGTACGCCGTGCGGGGCCCCATCGTCACCCGGGCCGTCCAGCTGGAGAAGGAGCTCAAGGAGGTAAGCGAGCCGGGTGCCCGTCACTGTAGCTTCTGGCCGGAGGCGGGGCAGGGCTCGTCTCTTCTCTGAAGTAGAACTGAGATAGAACAAAGTTTGAGTCCAGCGGCACCAGTTTGGTGTGGTGGTTAGGGGAGCGGACTCTAATCGGGGAGAACCGGGTTTGATTCCCCACTCCTCCGCATGCAGCTGCTGGTGTGACCTTGGGTCAGTCCCAAGTTCTCTCAAAGCTGTTGTAGAAAGGGCAGATCTGGAGAGAGCTCTCTCAGCCCCCACCTACCTCACAGGGTGTCTGTTGTGGGTAGGGGAAGGGAAAGGAGATGGTGAGCCGCTCTGAGACTCCTTCGGGTAGTGAAGGCGGGCGGGGTATACATCCAATCTCTTCTTCTTTAAGACCAGCAAAGTTGTATTCCGGGTATAAGCTTTCGCCAGTGGCACCTTTAAGAGCAACAAAGGTTTATTCTGGGTGTAAGCTTCAGACCAACACGGCCGCCCACCTGGATCTATAGCTGATACAGTTTGTCAGCCAAGCAGCGTTTCACCGCTTCAGGAGGCGCTGGGGATTCTTACCTGTCTCCACCTGCTTTGCCATTGCATGTCACGGCACGCCCACAGAGGGTTGGAACACCAGCCCAAATGTCTTGTGCCAGATGGCATCGAAGGGTCAAGCCAGGGTCCAACAGCTGTCGAGGGAATCCTTGCAGCGGCTCGTGACAACCCCGTGCAGGCTAGACCTGGGGCAGGTCTCTCCGGAGGGCAGGCCACACCCTGGGAGGGCAGGCCTCCTCTGCAAAGCCCTGCCCCCCTTCCGGGCAGGTGGGACTCTTGGCGTTGCCTCCTGGTCATCTTCGGAGGGGCAGGACTTGTGCAGCCAGCGGCTTGCAGGGCTGAGTCTCTGGCCGAGCCCCTGAGCCACAGGGGGGTCCTGTTGTTAGGAGAATGCCAGGGGGCACAGCTCATGCCTAGCCATCTGCAGCCTCAGGCTCGATGTTAGAGGTCAGCAAGGAGGCAGCTGCCCAGGGATCGCCAGGGGGCCCGCTGCCACCCTTTGTAAGGGGAAAGTGGGAAGTCGTCGTGCCAGGTTCCCTGCAACAACAGAAGAAGAAGAAAAAGAGATTGGATTGATACCCCGCTCTTCACTCGGCATCTCAGAGCGGCTTACAAACTCCTTCCCCTTCCCCGCCCCACAACAGACACCCTGTGAGGGAGGTGGGGCTGAGAGAGCTCTTTCAAGAACTGCCCTTGAGAGAACAGCTCCAAAATCACTTGTGAATGACCCAAGGTCACACCAGCTGGCTGCAAGCTTAGGAGTGGGGAATCAAAGCCGGATCTCCCAGATTAGAGTCCGCGCACTTCACCACGACACCAAACTGGCTCTTAACCACGACACCAAGCACAGGTGCCCCAGAGTTATACCTCTCTCTCTCGTGGGTGGCCATGCTGGGAGAAACAGCAAAATGCAGCCGCTCTGCTTCTTCCCTCCTGGTGACTTCCCTGTAGATGGGGGGGGGGGCGCGTGGGGCAGGGTTGGGCAGCCGTTCTCCTTTTGCCGCCACTGCCTGAAGGACACGCTAGCAGCTGGCCAGGTGAGCAGGGGAACGGCTGGCCAGGTGAGCAACTGACCCGCCAGGCAAGGAAGTGACCTGCCAGCTGGGTGCTGTGCCTGCCAGGCAGGGGAGTTATTCGCCGGCTGACTGACCAACCAGGAAAGCAACGTTCCAGGCGGGCAGGCAAGAGAAGGACCAGCTGGGCAGGCAGCTGGTCAACTGGCCAGACGGGTGGACGACTGACCTGGCAGGCAGGCAAGGAGTTCACCCACCGGCTGACCTGAATGCTGGGCCAATGAAAGCTGAACTTAAGAGGCCTTATGAGTAAACATGCAGAGGAGCTCCTGCACGCCTACCTCGCAGGGTTGTTGTGAAGGTGAAATGGGAGAGAGGAGCGTGAAGTTTTGTGAGGATAAACTAGAGGAGAAGGAAGGAAGCTGCTTTGGGTCGCCGTTGGGGAGAAAGGCGGATGGAAATCGAGTACATAGCAACTCCTCTCCAGAGGGGAATCCCTTGGGCAGCCTCCTTCCCTGTGGGTTTCCTTGTGTGGGTCCTCAAGGGGAGGTTTAGCCTCCGGCTCACACATTTTTGTTTTAAGAGGAGTCCCTTGGGCAGCCTGCTTCCCTGTGGGTTTCCTTGTGTGGGTCCCCAAGGGGAGTTTTAGCCTTTGGCTCACACATTTTTGTTTTAGCCTCAGGAAGGATGGGGCTCCAGAGCAAACTGATTCATGCAGCAGCCAAATGGCTCGCTCACCACTTCAATGCCGGTAGTAGCTCACAAAGTAGAATTTTTGCTCACAAGACTCCAGGGCTTAGGGGGAGCCTTGGTGGCCACGGATAGACCTTTCCTCCCCGAATCTGTCCGATCCACCTGCTCCAAGCCCAGTTTTTAACTTCTTGCTAAAGTCATCTGTTTTCCTTCAGCCAGCGTGACTCTCCGTGTGGCATGGCCTGGTGGAGGTGTGGGGCCGGTATGGAGGTTTTCCTCTCACCTCCAAGCAGGGGGTGGGGGTGGGGGCGATTGGCGGGCCTGAGCTGGTCTTTGTCTGCCTCTCCTCTTCCCAGGGAGCGAAGAAACCCTTCACAGAGGTGATCAGAGCCAACATCGGCGATGCCCACGCCATGGGGCAGAAGCCAATCACTTTCCTGCGCCAGGTATGATCTTGGGACTCGGAGGGTGGTCATTTCTGTTTGGCGGGGGAACAGCGGGGGTCTGGGATCATTCACAGCACAAAGAGCCCCGCTGGGGTGGGAGGGTTGCGTATCGAGGCAAGAGCTGCACCTCTTTGATTTCTGCCTGCCCCACAGCTGCTACTGGTACGGGGGCCCTACCAGAACTCCCTTCCACCCTCTCCCTCAGATGGCAGGAACCTTTGCCCCATAGGGGGGGAAAGACCACAGGAAAACGTAATGCTTCATTTCCCAGGGTTCTGGAAAGGCCATTCATTTGCTGAGGACGTTTCTGTGCCGTCCCTTCAGAGTCCTGGTTTAAGGCGGCTTAAAATTAAAACCAAGCCGTTCAAAACAAGCCATCGGACATAAGCAGAGTGGAAACTATCCATTAAACAGAAGGAGACTGTTAAAAAGCTGATAGGATGAAACCTGCAATTAAAAGCCTGAGTTTAAAAGTTTTGTTTTCTCATGGCACTGGAAAGAAAAGTGAAATAGGTCCTAGTCTAGGCTCAGAGGGAGGACATTCCAAAGGCAGGGAGCCAACACACAGCAGGCCCTGTCTCTAGGCACCATCAGCCACATATACAAAGGTGGAGGGCACAGAGAGAGCAGGGCTAGACAGGCAGAGTGTCTCACCCACTTCAGAAACAGTCTGGACATACCCGCAGTGCTGGGTGGGGGGTATTTTTCTTATCTAGGAGGAGGGCCGCTGTGGTTAAATTGGCAAAAATACTAAGATATTCTCAGTTTGCAATGGATCTTTGCTTCATTGGAGAGAAGGCATTTCTTTCTGTGGAAAAATCTTTATTTCTAAGGGAAGGGTACACGGGAAAATCTACAAAATAACAAAGACCCAAGGCTACATCTCTACAGCTACAGAACAGACCAACCACATGGTCTCACCACCACCACCACCACCACAACAACAACAATGGAGATTCTTCTTCTTCTTGACCCGTAGAAGGAAATCACCTGAATGCATTAACCAATGATTGTTAGTAAATAGGCTTAGGTTTCCCAGGCTTTCTTACCGTTGGCTCTGTGCCAGGTTTCCCTTCCAGGTCAGTCTAAACAGCAGCACAGAAGGTAAACAGATTAACCCTATAACGACTGGATTTTAGACCTTGCAACGCACACCTATTTCCAACAGCAGCAAGACAGAATCCATCCTGGGTTCTCTACTTGCATCTCGGCAAGGCTCAATTCAAGTGAAACCTGGGCAGATCTCAGTCCTGGGAGTGAGCTTTCAGGATCCAAATTCAGACCCAAGTCGTACATGTGGGGTGATCTGTGTGGAAGAGCACATGCCAAGGGCCTTCGCCCTCACCACAAAAAGCCCACACCCTCCGGATACAGATCTCTCTGGTTGAGGGAGAGGCGGCCCGTCCCCCCTACTGGGCCTCTCTTGCTGGCAAGGAAAGGGGCAGTTAAGGGCAGGAGCCTCATCCAACTTCTCGCCGGCAGGTCTGTGCCCTCTGTATGTACCCGGAGCTTTTGAACGACCCCAACTTCCCCAAGGATGCCAAGGAGAAAGCCTGCAAGCTGCTGGAAGCCTGTGGGGGGCACAGCATTGGTGAGTCTCCTCTGCCTCCTGTCGGGCATTCTTCTCTTCACCAGGGGTCATTCCGTAAAAAAAGAGGCGCAGGAGCTCATTAGCACAACTCATTAGCATAACTCATTTACATATGCCACACCCCCTGACAGTTCAAGTGAAACCTGGGCAGAGCTTAGTCCCTGGAGGGAGCTTTCAGGATCCAGATTCAGACCCAAGTCGTACGTGTGGGGTGATCTGTGTGGAAGAGCACATGCCAAGGGCCTTCGCCCTCACCACAAAAAGCCCACACCCTCCGGATACAGATCTCTCTGGTTGAGGGAGAGGCGGCCCGTCCCCCCTACTGGGCCTCTCTTGCTGGCAAGGAAAGGGGCAGTTAAGGGCAGGAGCCTCATCCAACTTCTCGCCGGCAGGTCTGTGCCCTCTGTATGTACCCGGAGCTTTTGAACGACCCCAACTTTCCCAAGGATGCCAAGGAGAAAGCCTGCAAGCTGCTGGAAGCCTGTGGGGGGCACAGCAAGGGCTTGTTGCATGTGCCCGCCCCCTGGGCTCTTTACTGCCGGAGTTCCGCTCCTGTGCGCTCCTGCAGGAAATGACCCCTGCTCTTCACCCTCCCCTTGACTGCTGTGTACTTCTTGGGGTAGGAGTGATGGGGACGAGACGGGCCTTATTGGATTCCCCCTCAGCCATCGGCCTGCAACAAAGCTGGTCTGAATTCCCTGTTCAGGTGCCAGGCCTGAGTGCCAGGCTGGGTCAAGGGAGCAGGATCACCAGCCCCGAGGCAGAGCCCGAGATCTCCCAGGATTATTACTGATCTCCAGGATACAGAGATCAGTTCCCCTGGAGAAAACGGCTCCCCTCCCCAAACCCTGCTCTCCTCTGAGAATATAGTTGGTCCAACGGGGATTGGAGAACTGAACATTGTCCAGAGTCTGCAGGAAAATAACAGGGGAGGGGAGGCCTTTGGTCAAATCCCTTGCAGGTCCTCTCTGCTGATCCACCCCACAGGGCTGTTGTGTCAATGCACACAAAGAAGGTTGAGACATTTTGTGCTGGAAAAGATCCATACATTATTACTGTGTTGTAAACATTAATAATGATGTATGGAGCCCTTTCAGTGTGCAACATACTGGTGTTCCCTCTAAGCTGTGGAGTCTTGTGAGCAAAAATTCTCCTTTGTGAGCTGCTGGCATTAAAGTTCTGAGCGAGTCTTTTGGCTACTGCATAAATTAGTTTGCTCTGGAGCCATCCTCCCTGAGTTAAGACAGAAATGTGTGAACTGGAGGCTAAAAAACTGTGAGCTAGCTCACACTAACTCAGCTTAGAGGGAACACTGCGTGGTGATATATAGGAGTCTCTCTGACAATCCCGACAAGGCGGTATGACCAGAAACACCTGTCCAGTAACCTTCTCCTCCCTTTCCCTCCCCAGGTGCCTACAGCGCTAGCCCTGGGATCGATTGCATCCGCCGACACATCGCCGACTTCATTGAGAGAAGAGATGGGGGCATTCCATCCAACCCAGACAACATCTTCCTTTCCACAGGCGCCAGTGATGGCATCGTGGTACAGAGACCTCTGCACATGTTGAAGGAAGGGGCACTGGGGGGCAAATCAAAGAGAGGGGAAGGAAAGGGGAGAGAAATGGGTTGCCCAGTGGCTAGGAATTCTGTTACGCATGCACCAAACAGAACTCCGATATGGAATCCCCAAGGAAATTGGTAGCGATATAGGAGTCTCTCTGACAATCCTGACCAGAAACACCTGTCCAGTAACCCTCCCTTCTTCTCCTCCCTTCCCCTCCGCAGGTGCCTACAGCGCCAGCCCTGGGATCGATTGCATCCGCCGACACATCGCCGACTTCATTGAGAGAAGAGATGGGGGCATTCCATCCAACCCAGACAACATCTTCCTTTCCACAGGCGCCAGTGATGGCATCGTGGTACAGAGACCTCTGCACATGTTGAAGGAAGGGGCACTGGGGGGCAAATCAAAGAGAGGGGAAGGAAAGGGGAGAGAAATGGGTTGCCCAGTGGCTAGGAATTCTGTTACGCATGCACCAAACAGAACTCCGATATGGAATCCCCAAGGAAATTGGTAGCGATTGCGGTCCACAGTGGAAATTTCTCTATTTCGGCATATCACCCCCTCAACCCCTATTAGCCATGTTTTATTACCATAGGGGAGGGCATGAATAGCCAAGGGCGGCAGCCAGAAGCTGCAGCCAGATTAATATTGAGGAGGGCTGGTCAGGCTCCAGACAAACAGCGGGGTCTGGATGTGAGGGCGATCTGTCTGCGATATCTGTCACTCCATGGATCGCCAGGGTTGATTTGGCTGGTCTGGCTGGCTAGGCGGGTGTCCATTACCTTCTTCACCGCTCCGTGTGTGTCCCTCCCGAAGCTGAATGCTCCGTTGAAGAGGAGGACTATCCCAGATAGAAGGACAAACCGTGGGGTCTGTGGGCCATGACGAGGCACCCCGTGGGTGGCTGCATTGACTCAGCACCTCCTGCCCTTTCCTGCATTGCTGCTCTGAGCAAGTTTGCCGGTCTCCCCGAAATACACCTCCAGACTACAGAGATCTGCTCCCCTAGAGGGAACGGCAGCTCTATAATAGAATCATAGAATCATAGAGTTGGAAGGGGCCCATAGAGACCAACTAGTCCAACCCCGTGCCCAATGCAGGACCAATGTAAAGCATCTCTGACAAATATTCGTCCAGCCTCTTCTTGAAAGCTGTCAGTGAAGGGGAGCTCACCATCTCCCTAGGCAGCAGCTGATTCCACCTTTGGACCACTCTGACCCTGAAAAAGCTTTTCCTGATATGCAGTCGATCCCTTCCTGCATGCAATTTAAACCCGTTGCTTCGGGTCCTCTCCTCTGCTGCCCACTGGAACAGCTCCTTGCCCTCCTCCCAATGACAGCCTTTCAGATATTCAAGTCACGTCCCCACTTGCCGCCCCCGAATCTCCAGGAATTTGCAAAGTCAAGAGTTGGCAGCCCTGATTTCACGGCCTGCTTTGCTGGGGGCCCGCTCTGCGCACTTGGACAGTTTCACAAAGCCCCTTTTGTGCTCCTCTTGGCAGCCGGGGCTGAAGGGAACGGGGACTGTCTCTGTGCAGGACAGGGTCCCCAGGCCAGGCAGCGGGAAGGCCTTGGAGAAGGAGCCGCAGCAGGCTTTGCCTCGTGAGGGGCCAGTGCGGGGCATGCCAGGATGGCTCTGAGACTGGCATTCAGGCACGGAACGTGGAAACCAGAGACTCAGCAAAAGCCTTCCTTGCCGGTTGCGGAAATGTCCTGGTTTTTTTTTTAAAAAAAGGGATCTACAGGACAGGAGGAGCTTCAAAGGGGAGCTGTGTTAGTCTGCCATAGAAGAACTAGATTTGAGTCCAGTGCGACTGTAGAGACCAACAAGAGTTTTGGGGTGGGAGCATTCAGGAGTCGACGCTCCCTTCGTCGGATACTGCAGAATGTTCCAAGAGGGGCAGAGCCGTGTTAGTCTGTCTGTAGCAGTAGAAAACAACAAGAGTCCAGGAGCACCTGAAAGACTAACCAAATTTGTGGCAGGATAGTATGAGCCTTCATGAGTCACGGCTCACTTCTTCTGGTACCAAAGTTGATGGATCTCCATTCTGTACTGCTAAAAGTGGTGCCTCCCCTGTCTACAGGAGTAGAAAAGAGCCAGAGTCCAGGACCACCTGAAAGACTAACCAAATTTGTGACAAGGAAGGAGCTTTCACAAGTCACGGCTCACTTCTTCAGCTACAAGCATGGACAGCTTCAAGAGGGAACTGGATAAACATATGGAGCAGATGTCCATCAGTGGCTGTTAGCCACAAGGGATAGATAGGAACTCACAGGCTGGGGCAAGGGATGCTCTGTCTTCTTGGTGCTTGGGGGGTAGGGGGCAACAGTGGGAGGGCTCCTGGTGTCCTGGCCCCACTGCTGGACCTCCTGATGGCACCTGGTATTTTTGGCCACTGTGTGACCCAGAGTGTTGGACTGGATGGGCCACTGGCCTGATCCAACATTGGCGTCTCTTATGTTCTTATAGGAACTCTCAGTCTGGGGCGAGTGATGCTCTGTATTCTCAGTGCTTGGGGGGGGCAACAGTGGGAGGGCTCCTAGTGTCCTGGCCCCACTGCTGGACCTCCTGATGGCACCTGGTGTTTTTGGCCACTGTGTGACATAGAGTGTTGGACTGGATGGGCCACTGGCCTGATTCGACATGGGCTTCTCTTATGTTCTTATGTTCTTCAAGCTTGCCCCCTGCCACAGATGTTGCTAGTCTTGACTGGACTCTTGCTCTTTTCTACTGCAAAAAAATTGTTGGTCTCCAAGGTACTCTACTGGACTCATATTTAGCAGAAAAGGAGAAGCAAAGGGTGTGGGCTGTTCAGACATCCACATTCTGCATTTGTGCTCCTTTGAAAACCAGTATGGCATTGTGGTTGGAGTGCTGAGCATTGACCGGAAAGATCGAGGTTCAGATCTTTATGGAGCCATGAACTTTGCTGGGTGACCCTGGGCAAGGGGCTCTCTGCCTGCCTGCCTGCTTTTTACAGGGTTTGGAGGGTGGGGGAGAGGAAGGGACTTTATGTGCCCTGCCTTGAGCTCCTCGGAGGGAGAGGGCAAGGCAGAAACGTGGCAGGTGCCCCTCTCCCTCTTTAATTAAAATGCCGTCTCAAGAAACCCGGTGTTCCCTTGGTGGCATCCGGCTCTTCTTGGAGGGGTAGTTCAGCCGGAGGGAAAATAAATCCGAAAGGCAGCAGATGCCGGGAAAGATCTTTCTGTGCCCAAGAGAGCTGTCAGTCAGAGAGGAGACGGACAGACGGGCCAAGGAACGGCCTTTGAAAAGGGGAGGAGGGCTGGGGCTCGGCAGAAGAGCAACTGCTTGGCATGCAGAAGTTCAGTCACTGGCAGAATCTTTGGTTAAAAAGATAAAGTCGATGACCTGCAAAAGAACTCTGCCTGAGACTCTGGAGAGCCCCCCGCCAGTCAGAGTAGCTAATACGGACCTTGAGAGACCTGTTTATTTATTTATTATTTGGGGCCCTGGTGGCTCAAGTGTTTAAGACACTGAACTGCAGATCGGAAGGTCGGTAGCTCAGCAGTTCGAGACCCCAGCGCTGCGTGACGGAGTGAGCTCCCGTCTCTGGCCCCAGCTCCTGCCAACCTAGCAGTTCGAAAGCAAGAAATTGCAAGTAGATAAATAGGTACCACTTCGGTGGGAAGGGAACAGCGTTCCATGCGCCTCGGCGTCTAGTCATGCTGGCTGCATGACCACGGAGAAGTCTTCAGACAGCGCTGGCTCTTCGGCTTGGAAACGGAGATGAGCATCGCATCCCTAGAGTCGGATTCGACTGGCTTTCGAGCAAGGGAACCCTTTACCTTATTTATTTATTTATTGCTTCTTGGCTGTTTTTGCAACCAGAGTCATAAACAGCGGACCTTGAGAGACCAAAGGTGACTCCAGGTGTGTGTTCAGTAGGAAGGGGCGGGGAGCTAAAAAAAAAAAGCAAAGCAAAGGAAGGTCCCACCGTGCACTTCACTGCATCACCGCCATGATGTTACTTCTGGTTCCACTGATGCCCTTTTGGCTGTGAACTAGGCCTGACCTAGACATCGGAGTGCAGAGAAAGAAACGCCCTGAGCTGGGGGGACGCAAGGGTTCCCACATCGTTTGGCAGCGGGGAGTGGGGGGCCACATCACTGCTTTAAATCAGGGGTGGCCAAACTGGCACAACTTAAGAGCCACATAGAATAAATGTCAAATCTTTGAGAGCCGTGAGACATGAACAACTATTACACATGTTTTTAACTTTAAAATATGCAGATTTGCTTTTTATTAACATTAAATGAGACTGCCCAAAATAAAAAGGGGTAAAACCAGATATCGATAATGATATTTAACTGTCCAGTTATATTTATTTGTTTGCTAATGGTATTTATTTGTCTAAGAGAGAGAGGGAAAGA